ATTTGGAATTGCCATGGAGCTAATTTAAGGAAATTCTCTCTTTCTCTGTCCATGAAAGAAAGAAACAGGAAATAATGGTCGACCTATTTATATGCAAGAAGCACGATGAATACTAAAAACATTGATGATGCTGAAGGTCTCTCAATCCACGTGATCTCCCAATATGTCGAGTCGTGGATTGCTAATGGAGCAGAGAACATAATAACACGCGGACAAAGTTTATTCTCCTCTGCCGATGTCATATAATGCTGATGAATGCAAGGCTATACTACACCAGTATTTGTTTTTGCTTGGGGCCCGAGTTGGATCCCTCATTTTTCTATGCAAGTAAAAATTAAATGGGTCGTCAAAATTTAGATGTCAACAATAAGAAGAAACAAATTGTGCAAAATTGAAGACGAAATAAATGGCAAAGACTTCATCACTGTATTAAGAGATCCGAGAACAGAAAGGGGACAACATGTAATTCATCACGACAGGTGGGCTTCACCCATGTACTCCTTTTTTTAACGTGTAAGTGCATGCATACCCAGTTCTCCTATTCCCCTTGTTGGCTTTGTATCTTTTTCTTGCCCAAATCTAGGCAATACCTGTCACGCCCCGAATCCCCACGGTACGCAACATCCCTACCTTGGTCGATTATGGTGCGACGTCCCAGGAAGCGTCGCCGACCCAACGCCCAAACAGAGAACGAGCACAAGCGGAAGTAATAAACAAACCCTGACAATATAAAGAATACGAGACAATGGATAGCACGGCTACAATCAATCAACCACTGAAAATATGTACACTTTATAACATTATAGAAAACCTTTTTTCAATATCCATTAATACAACAAAAACGAACAACCCAAACAGTCAACAGCCACTAGGTCAAAAAGGTAGGTGGCTAGGGTGAGTCAAACTAAGCCTACGAGGAGGACTACAATAAAAAAGGATCGATCCTCCCTATCAAGCTCTGGTCCCTCCTACGGCTCTCAGTCCGGGTCTGAGGACTCCGAAGAATCCTCTGAAGATCTCTCGCTTGGCTCAGATTCCTCTGACTCCGTGGCCTGGGCTGCTGCTTGCTCATCCTCCGAGTCCATTTCTAACTCCGGGTCCAAGTATAAACCTAACTCCTCATCAAACACCATCTCCTCATCTGATCCAAGCTCAGCAACTTCTCCATCCTCATCCGGGTCCTGATCCATCGGTTCCGGCACCTGCTCCGGCTCAACCTCCTCATCCATAGCCTCTAGGTCCTCATACCATACTCCTGGCTCATCTTCCATGGCTACGGGCTCGTCTGCTGCTGGAGGGTCCACGATCTCGCCATCGGCCATCTGGGGTATCATCGCCCCTCCTATGTCTACCGGAACGTCAAAAGTTCTAAGCGGTCGTCCGATGTTTCCGTCGGCATCCTTCAGGCACCAGGCCACATACTCTTGCACTTGGTAAAAGTACTCACCCACATTTACATACACTACTGAATGATATCTTACATATTCCTCCCCATGCCCAGCTGGGTATACTCTCGAGGTCCTATGGATCTGCGTCGGGATCCCAAAAAGAGGTGGCTGCCTCGGCATGCTCAGGGCTGGGGGTCTGAAATGTTGGGTTATAACAACCGTGAGACGAATCTCAGCGAGTATAACCCCTAAACCTAGGCTAGGCTAACATGCATTCTCCTTACCAGCAAAACAACGCAATAAACAAACAATGACCTAGGCTCTTGGCCCAGATCGATCATACAATTGACCCTGCAGGTTAGGCATTTCATTATAATACTCACGGCACATACGCGGCACACCAATCACACGTACGCCATACGCAATGATCATGCTTATTAATGTTAGATTCGCATGCCAATCATCGAGTCTCGTACCCTTGCGCATTAGCCCATGCACTCTTATTCATGTAAATGTCATTATCATGCCATGTTCATATTGACTCACACTGCACACTGGCATATAGCTCATTTTAATTAGAAATCGACCCAAAGGTCACGGCCCGAAGGCTCACAACACTCCACGGCTAGCGTAAAAACGCCCCAGGCCCAGTGTCTCTAGCCTGCTACAAAGTGCATGAGGCACAACTCCGATCTCCTTACGAACCAGAGCCTACTACAAAGTACATGAGGATGGTCGTCTTTCGGATGTACCGGGCATCGTCCTACTACAAAGTGCATGAGGACGGCACAACCCGAAGGCCAATATGTAATCACACGGCACATTGCCAATTTTTATTTGAACCACGCGTAAAACGCATCAGGGTGTAATTAGGTGATCACACGCTCATGGCAGATACGCATTCTCGCACAATTCCATCACATGCCTCACACTAGGCATACATAATGCGTGACCATGAAATGCAGCACATTGCACCATGAGCATTAAATATAATTAGGCACCCAGTCAATTTATGCCACAACAATCTGCTCACTTGGCCAATTAATACCGTGTGGCCCAATTTACAATGTGCACTGCAATAATCAATCTCAAGCCATCATTTTGGCCAATCACATCCCACATTGGTCAATCACGCGATCACACGACATGGCAATATTCCATTCCCCCAAAATTTGGCACAACAACCAATAAATCAGACAATCCGGGCATACCCGGCAATTCTAGTCACCTAATCCTCGATCAATCTCGGCTAGTCCAATAGCCCACTAATCAATCTCACATTAATCCACTGATATTAATCTAGTAATTTTCTTCCACCAATCGATTCACCAATTCCTTCCAGTATACACTAATAATACCCAAACCAGTCCGGAAAACGCACTATCAGTCCTAATCCGGGTTTAGGAGGTACACTCACTTATTTCAACTCTACGACGACGAGGAACGGCGGCCGATCACTGGTGAACGGTGGAACCGGCGGCGGTGTTCTGGCGGCGACGTACGGACGGCGGCGTACGGACGTACGGACGGCGTACGGGGACGCGTACGTACGGCGACGTACGGACGGCTGGAGGGTCACGGCGGCAGCAGCTCGGCTGTTCGAGCTCCGGCGCGGCGGCGGTGAAGCTCCGGCGTCCTTTGGCCAAGAAAGAGAAAACAAGGGAGAGAGAGAGAGAGAGAGAGAGGTAAAGGGACGGGATGAGGGTGGTGGTGGTGAGGCGAGGTCAGGCGGAGCAGCGGCACCGGCGGACGGCGGCGGCACGGCGGCGGTCCGGCGAGCTCCGGCGTACGGACGGCGGCCGAGAAGGAGGAAGAGGAAAAGGTGGAGGAGGGGCTGATCGGGAGGGGAGCTGGCCGAATGAGGGGGAGGAGAGAGAGTGTGGGGGGTCAAAACCAGTCAAAGGTAGTGGCTGGTGGGGACACTTGTCGCCGATCCGGGCTACTTGACCAAAATACCCCTAATCCAACGGCCCTTAATCATCCTAATCTAATAATTGATGGGCAAAAGGGTCATTGGGTCCAATAATTCTGCTGAAAACCATTAATAATTAACCCAAATAATTTCCAAAATTCGGAACCCAAATAATAGCCCAGGGGCAAAATGGTCATTTTTCCGGTCCCGGAGCGAAATTCCAATTTTTGGCTATACCAACCCCAATTGGGTGTGGCCAACATAATATGGCGTCGGAATAGCGAAAATAGCCTCTTAAGCCCTCGAAAATTGACTGCAAAGTCCTGGGGAATAAAATAATATTATTTTTCACTTCCGAGCCAAAATTCCAATTTTTGACCGAAACAATTCTAAATGCGCGTGGCCACCCTAAAATGACATCGTCCACGAAAAATAATCTCAGACGGCTTCAAAATCAACGTCGGTGTCCCGAGGGGCAAAATCGTAATTTTTGACTTCCGGGTCGAAATTCCATTTTTCGATCGAAACTATTCCAAATACGCGTGGCCAACATAATATGACGTCAGATCCGCAAAAATAGTTGTACAAGCCCTCGAAAATCGGCACCGAAGTCCGGGTCCAATTTCGTGACCAAAATTCGCTAAATTTCAAATTTCAGGGTCTCTCATTAATGGGCGGCTGTTTAGGGGTTACGCGTATCGACCTAGAGTTGTCCGAGTCATAACGGTCCCAATCATCGAGAGAATGAGAAATTATCACTAGTCCCAGAGGTCGCGATCGTTCGATTCCAGTTCAGGACTGGTTGGCCACGTGCACTTTCGGTCGTGCAGAATCACCTGCAATCCGATTGTACATCGTTGGCCTTGGTCAAATCAAATCCATCACTTTTCCTGAGATCGGCCCACGTTGGCCCAAAATATTCCCTCATCATTTCTCGTGATCGATGTCCGATTCACGATCGGGTCCCTGGTCCATGTACCGTTTTCCCAGTTAGCCATACCCCACTGGTTAGTATCCCTAGAGTGATCAGCTTTGGGCGAGACTTACTAAAATGAAATGCGAAATAATGTCAATTTTATTGATCCCGAAATTATATCGAAATTCGGGCCGTTACAATACCCCCCAATAATTGATTATGGAGAATATTGAAGGCGGCCAGACGAGTACGGAACCGTCTAAAAAATGACCAATCATATTCAAATGAGTTAATCCCATACTCCCAAATTAGTATCCTTAACAAATTTATAATTTTAGGCTTCGTTTATATGGCGAAAATGGGGAATTCATGTATAATTCGATTGGATGTGTTTGGCGAATTAGGTGTCTAATAGAACGGATGGGGGAATATCACCGACATAACCATAACCGCTTCTCTGCTCTTGTATGCATGTCATCAAAGCCCATTCGATTTTAAGGTGAAAAGAGCATCTTTCTCGACACTCTCTTTCCCGCGCGCGCTCTTTCTCTCTCTCTCTCACATACATCAGTCAGGAAGAGCGATCCACCATGGCGAAAAAGGGCAAGGACTACCACAGGTTGCGAAATCTGCGCTGTCTAGGTATCTTGAGTTCAATCGTCAGCCGCGTTTGTGTTATGCTCTACGAGATATTCGACTGAATCGGAATTGTCATGTGTTTTAGCCAGCGATTGGTTCCGAGTCATACATTGTTGGACCTGATCGTTCGCTTTGATATCGACTTTGTAATGGATGGATGGGGTTGGAGGCAGTGTGCCGTGCCGGTCCAGTTCAATGCTGGGATTCATTTGCATTTTCATGTTTCCTTTATCGGATATGGCATCCTCATTTCCAGTGCATCATTCGTTTTACTGGGTCGCTAGTCTCATTACTGGATATACTTCAGGTTGCTGAGCTCTGCACCGGTTCCGACTTGCCTTATAGAATCGCTGTTCACCCACAAGGAGATGGTGTCGTCTGCACATCACCGAAAGGCTGTAGGTATGTTTTCTTTCTCGCCACCTTTCCCATTCTGATGAGCAGAATCTTAGTGGTATAACTTCGGCAAACTGATTAAGCTTTAGGTAAGCCGGTCAACTACGAGTTATGCGATTTCGGAAAAATGTAAAGATATCCATGTCCTTGTTTTCCTCTCCACTTCCTCTTATAATCTCTTCTTTACTGAAAAGACAAAGGCTAAATCGTGCAGTGGTTGTTGCTGCTCCATTAATTGGAACTAAACATGTTTGTTTGGTCTAAAACAGATTGTTTGAGTGGGAAAATCCTGAAAATGCTGAAGATCATAAATTGGGCCTTAAGATGTCAGTGAAAGTGCTCGGGCAGTTACAAAATGCGGAACTACAGTTAGCATTAGTATTTAGCCATGATGGTTCTTTGCTTGCTGCTGGTGGCGAGGTAAGCATTCCTTTTTTCTGTTGTATGCGAAGAGGATAGTTGGATATATTGGTCAAGCACTTGTAATGTGAGGAGAGATGGAAAGATACTTTTGCATTGGCCTGCTCTAGTGGTGTCATACGTTTTCCACCCCTTAATAATATGGTTTATTTAGAAAACTTTAAATCATGGACAGTAGTTTATTCTTTTTTAGCGTATTTCAGGCTAGCTAGATTAATTTCTAGATGCTTTCTTGAACCCTTGACCTAGGTTAATGAATTCAAGGTTGGTAATGAAAAAATTAATGGTTTTTTTTAACCCGATTCTTGTTTTAATGGTCATTTAATGATCAAGAACGGTGGGAAAAAGAAGTAAAGTGGCTCTTTGCAGATTCTAAACACTTCCATTTGCATTGAATACCCAAGCTCGCGCGTACTTTTTGTGTTCTTTTTTAATAATAGTGTGGAGCATGCTGCTTAGTTTACATACATTGAGGGAAAGATGTGATGATGCATGATATAAATTTAATGATTCTGCTTTACTCTTGGGCAAAAATCATTGGAACAGCATGATGGATGATTTGTACGTTGGTGTAGTACAGGATGGCAAGCTAATGGTGTTTAACTGGCCCAGCATGGACATTATTCTCAGTGTGGCCCAGGCTCATTCTTCTCTGAATGACCTTGCTTTCAGGTTTTTTTTGTTGTTGTAGCATCAAATAATTCTTGCTTGGAAAGCTCGATAGAAACTAGGAATAAGGTTCTTGTGGCCCTTAATTATAGAATCTCAGTAAAGACCCTCCTCATTGCAGCCTCGATGGAAAGTTCCTTGTCTCCTTGGGGGACTCTGGCCCCTGTCGAGTTTGGGATCTAACTTCCTCAGTTGCCGTGGCATCTCTGCCAAAAGAGAATGTGAGCTCATGAAACACTTTTCTTGTTTTAAATTTTCAAGCGAAGTTCTTGGATTCTCCATATAAGATCTGGTTCGTCGCTGTGCTGTGGTATCTCTAATATCTGTACATTTTTCCGTGTTTACCAAGCAATCATGTGGACTTGAATTTTAAGAATACAACTCCAACCCAAGCACATGTGGGGTTCCTGTCTAACGAGGCAATTCACAATTTTTTTACAGAGCATCAGAATTTGAACTCATGCACGCGTTCTTTAGTTTATAAACATAGACCATTGAAGCAGGTTCATACGATTGCAGAAAAATGTGTTGCCTTGGTAGTCTGTGAAGAGTCTGTATGTGTTGTAGGATTCGGATGGACCTAAGTTTTGAAGCGAACCAAATAAGACAAGGTTATACTTTGGATGTAGAAATGAAAGGATGCACATTGAGCAAGTTTCCTTAGGAAACATTTGTTTGAATTGGTGAAACATTTCTGGGAAAGGTAACCTAAATACATGCAGCTACAAGGGTCGATCATTCTTGAACTTAACATATTTTTGTTGCATAACCGAGATAAAGGACATCTTTCGTGGACATTTACTCAGCTACCACTGTCAGTAGAGTTGTTCTTCCCTTTCATGGTCTTGGGGCTGATGGGCTTCCTATGCTCTGTTCAGGACGAGACATTCGGATTTTGCAGATTTTCTCAAAGCTGTGATGGGACGCAGGTTTTGTATGTCACTGCATTCACAGGTGATATCAATGAGGGCCTCATCTTTTATTCACTGAAATGTTTCCTTTCCATATATTGATTTGAAATATTTTCTGCAACTCTCAAATAGGTCAAGGGGCAAGCATTTTGACATGGAACACATCCTCTTGGAAGAGAATTGGCTCCAAGCATGTTGGTCGTGATGCAGTTAGCGCATTTAATGTTTCAGCTGATGGAAAACTCCTTGCAGCGTAAGTAATCACGGTCTCACCTCATGTGACAACTGACGGGGACCATTATATTTTTCACCCATTTCTTAGCTGAGAAGTTATTTGATTTGATGAGAAGAAATAGGCAGCCTTTGTCATAATTCTTCTCCTTGGAAATCTCTTTTTATGCAGCCTTCTTGCATTTGGCTTCGTTAAAATTTGGAGATTGATTTTATTTTTTTTGAATTGCCAGCGAGAAGAAGCTGCTTTGATTTACTTGATCCTATAAGCTTCTGTTCATCATTGCAATGAGTGAACACCCCCCGCAACTCGGTGATGATTAGGAAGCATAAGGATAAAGCCTAGCTTGAACCTTAATCAGGTGCCTTAACAGGATAGCGAAACCTTCAATAGTAGGAAATGGGATATCCTATTTCTATTGTCCAAAGAAACAAAAATGTTATGTATGTAAGGATTGTATGGTTTTAAGGATACTAGATGACATCCTTCAAGTAGTCTTGGATAGTTGAACAAGTTTGACATTGCTCCAAACGAAATATAAGAAGATCGATATCTTTTTCAAATTTTGATATAGAATTTGATTTTTCTGAATTGCCAGTGAGAAGCAGAAACTTTAGTTTCCCAGATTTTCCTGTATGATGTTGGTGTCCATTACTGAAATAAGTGACCACTTCCTGCAACTTGGTGGTGATTAAGTAGCATGAGGATGAAGCCCACCTTGAGTCTTAATTAAGTGCCTCAAAAGGATAGGGGAACCTGGAATATTATGAAATGGAATATCTCTTATTAAATATCCAAAGAAGTAAAGGTGTCATGTATGTAATGATAGTCTGCCGTATACACCTGCAAATCTTTCAAGTAGCCTTGACTAGTGGCACACAATCAATGTGGCTGTAAAGTTGTGACGAAATTTTGAAACTCGTCTGCTTAAGTTGTTTAAGGGGCCTTAAGTTCTGCCATTTGATATCAGTAACGGGATGAATAAGGGGAAAAGTGAGAAACAACCCGTTGGTTGATATTCTGATTGGGTTGTTATATCCATGGAGAAAATAAAATTTTAGTTTTTTTACAATTTAGATAGGTACAAAAGCGAGACCGATAGAAATGTGCTTTGCTTTCATCTGACATATAAAAGTGGAACGAATCTGCAAGCAACCGAATCTGTGAAGTATGACTTTGTACGGTAGAGGAGAGAAAGGGTGGGGTCTGCAGTCACCAGTGATATAGTGGGAGCGGGGCAAAACCGGGATGGCGTTAATGCTATATGATGACCTCTTGATTGAGTGCCCTAGTTTCTCAAATTCGTGTTCCATGGGACGGAGATATCCTCATTCAGCAGGTTGTAGTATGAACTGCTTTTGGATCTGAAATCCACAGCCAGCGCCAACATGCTGGAGACACTTGGATGCTAATATCTCTACATAATGAATCCGGAGCACTGAAAATTCTAATAATCAACGTGGAGAAGAAAGAGAGTGTATATAATCTTTGCATTATACTCATCAAGTAATTCCTTTAGTGTTTAGGCACGTATGCAAATCTGGCCCTAAGTCTAAGATTTGGTTTCTATACTTGCCATTGGAGCTCAATTGAGTTAAGTAGCGCTCATCGGAAAGAGGATGCAGTGCGGCCTTAAAACCATCGTACTTACAGCGTTATGGGCAAACGGATGAGAAAATATTTGTCAGTGTGGTTGAAATGATCTATTAACATACTCATCTCGATTGAACACTTGCTGATCTCATTGCCTGGAGGCTAGATCTACATTGAATGATATTGAATGATGCTTTTTGCCTCTTACTCATGCTTTTAAGGTTAATGTTTGCTTTTGATTGCATTAGTCGATGCATTTTTGTGAACGTGTGGGTTCATTCCATCTTTACTCTGAATGGTTTCTATACATGTTTTGTCACTTCACATTCAATAGGGTTTGAGTTTAAGAACACTCATACGGTCCTTTTTTGATTGGAATGATTGAAATGCAGTTGCACGGGACAAGGCATTGTTATCTTAAATTCAACTAGTATGAAGACTCAGACTGTCATGAAAAAAGCACATCTTGGTTTTGTAACAGCATTAACATTCTCTCACGATTCAAGGTTTTGATTAAGATACTATCGCCATCTTTGCGGTAAAGGATTGTTGTGCTTCCCAAGCTTTAACTCTGATTGATTAGACTGCAGGGCAGTTATTTCAGTATCCATGGGCTCAAGTGCTATGGTGATAGACTTGAATACTGGCGGTATGAGACTTCTATGATATCCTAACTTATACAAATATGGCCTTGAAAGCCAAGGCAGTTTTGAATAATGATTCTACAAGGTCAAACTTTTTGTTATTGTCGTAAACGAATGTTGTGAGAAAGGTGGGAAGCACAAAGGTGGGAAGCACACTAATGACGGACTGCTTCAATGAGTTGAAAACAAACATCGAATCTATAGACTCCCTAGGTCAACCTTTCGAACTTCAGCTCAGGCGCATTACAAAATTTAAGTATTATATATAAGGACTCAAGATCTTTATTGTAAAGTAAACCAAAGAGTTAAGAAAAATCTCATGCTAGATATCAATCTTTCATTTTCATTTTCTTGTGAAAGTTGATTGAGGTCTATGGTGCCTTATTCAGGTCATGTCAATTGACTGAAGAGAACCTCATTCTTTCCACAGAATGAATACCGTAATTTGGGAAATTTTTTTAATCGATCCCTCCACCTTGTTCCGCTTTGAGATTGTGGCATCAGGAGACTCCAATTTTTTATATCCATCCTTCATATTTATGAACATGAGAAAATCCTCAATTTGGAGAACGTTGAGTCCTAGTAATTTGGAGTGCAGTACCCTCCGTTGGATTTATGGTACTTGAATCTGTGATTTCATTTGAAGGATGTTATGAAAATCTATGGTTTTCAAATTTTGAAGTTTGTTCTTTGATTTTAGAAAGATTCTTTGGTTATCATCCTTCTATATTTGCCAGTTTCCATATCAAAACGTACTTCCTATGAACAAATTAGTCGTGATGCGACCCTAGCTTGTTATATTGCTACTGTCTCATTATTTTTTGATCTTTTGTTAATGCAGGAGGATCAAGATTGTGGCGCGTTGTATTTGTAGTCCTACTTGCAATAGCTGCGGGATTCATGAGGAGATGGAGCCTTTTCCCTCACTTTTCCTAGCTATAGGGCCATAGTTGATGCATGCAAATAAGGAAAGCTAAACTTGCAAATGAATTTTAGGGATGTGTGATGACTCGTAGGTTTGAAATATGTTTCATCCTCGTGATTTCACCAATGTGTGGCTGACGCTTGCAGTTGAATCCTAGCAACATGTTGTTGAATGAGTTGAAGACATTCATATGTCATGGGATCTAGCATTTCTTTACCTGTGGCCTTAGGAATTTCTTCCTAACTCAGCCTTCCCACTCACTCATAAGTATTAGAGAAAGAAACACTAGAGAGAAGCTCTGAAATTGTATTACTCTTAAAAATGAGTTGTACAAATGAGGGGGAGGAGACCCCTTTATATACAAGTACGAGACTGAACGTATCTGTAGATTTCTCCCTAATCTTATGGTCGAGATCGTATCTTCCCAATTACCACCTACCCCCATTTATTACAGAAGAGTACAATTATAGTATCGTCCGCTCTCAGGATTATTCTAGAACATCCGAGAAAACCCTAGGAGTTAGAATCCTCGAGGGTTGCCTTCTCATTCGTGGATTAGTCACGGTCCTTCCGTCAAAACCCTCTTGAATGATTCAAAGTTTTGGACCGTGACACATAGATGAGAGAAATAGAGATGAAATTATGTATAAAGCGTGTGATTAAGAGAGCACTAACAATCTCATAGTAATGACATTATGATTTGGTAGAGATGATAGGTTATCCGGACCTACTAAACACTATTCACAAATCTCTCCTCCTCATCCACAGAGTCTCGTCGCTACCTTCTAGTGACGCAACCCGCTGTTGAAACCGTGATGATCACCGCCGCCGCCCATCACCCGGTTGGATTGACCGCTCATACCCCTTCCTCCCTTGCTCTCTCTCGCTTGCACTCGCTTGTGGTTGACAGATACATTTCAGTCCTTTATAACATTGATATATATGACTATTAGTTATCTACCAAGTCATTCGTGAAATCACCGGCTTTTCTCTGCATCGGCTTTTCTCTACATGAAAAGAGAAACACTCATTAGAGAGATAGTAATAAAATAAATTAAAGACCAACTATTAGCTAAATGAAACAAAACGATAAGTGCAAAAATCTTAAGCATCGACTAATTATTAAGGGTTAGATGATTTGTAGAACAATACATTTGAGGTAGTTTGTTGGTTGTTCATTAATTTAATAGTAAGATTCAAATATAAAGGAAAGATATGTTGACATGGTTTTTACATGGTCTACTATCAGTATAAAAAAATAATTTACACTTCATTGGATAGTTAACATGTTGATGATTTTTATTACATAGCAATCTCAAAGCACACATGTCACATGTTCAGTAGTACATCGGTATAAAGAATACACCGATGTTGGACAATTAGGCAGATGCTCATCCAACATTGAAATAATAATAAAACAAAAGTTGAAATGAAGGATGTCGTGATTTCAAAGGTTTGAGATATAAGCTTCTTTTTTAGCAAGAAAAGGAACTTTTGTGTATGAGAGTTTTAACCTATACATAAAGTATAGCCTAGTAAAATTTAATGTGGTTGCGCTATGTGTTTAATTTTGGAAAGAAGAGGAAATGCAAATCAGGTAGCAAACATACTATCTAAACACAAAAACCATCTATATTGCTATTGAAAATACAAAGAAACGGGTCTATTCAAACATATTGTTTCGAAAAGAGGTGTCGGCATTTATTTTATTTAAGAAGGCATTTGTCTAAACTTCTTCTAGAAATGTGAAGCGATGTGTCTAATCTTGCCAATATTCAAAACACATTATTTCAAAGATACATACCATCTAAACAATTTCGGAAACAAAAAAACATGTTTTTTCATGCAATAATAAAGCGAATCATACCCTAATTGTCTTAGAATAAGAAATTTGAGAGTAGCATAACAAACTTATTGTTTCAAAAAAATATATAATCTAAATTGGTAATTGGGAAATTACCAAAAAAGTCATGAACTTAATGCATTTGTGACAATTTAGTCATAAACCTTTCAATTTGGCCATTTTAATCCTAAACCTTTTGAAAATTTGCCAATGTAGTCCATCTGTTAATTTTTGCCGAAAATCGCTAATATAGATGCTGGTCGTTTTACGTGACACGACTGACACTGACGTGGAATATTTTTACAAATTTTTTTCTAATTTTTTTTATATTTATATTGTCATTTTCTTTTTCTTTTCTTTCTTTTTTTTAATTCTTTCTCCGCCAGTCGTTGGGCTTCGGAGATGGCCAATGTCACGCCCCGAACCCCTCAAAACGCAGTCATCCCACGTACTGGTTGATTTTGATGCGACGTCCCAGGACGCGTCGCCGACCCAACTCCCAACACAGAGCGTAAGGCACATGCGGAAGCAATAATTAAAACACCCTTACAAACAATACATGACCAAGGGTAGCAGGAACGTCGAACAATTAAAAGCCTAATAATTAAGACTTGCATTGAGCTTCAATCATATACAATGTTCACGATACACCAATACAAATCTCCAAACAAAAGCGGGTCGACGGCCACTACTAACAAAATGACTAAGTGGCCAAGGGGACAGTCTAAGGTGGGGCTACAATCAAAGGGTTACCGGCCCGACCTAAAGGAGGCTAAGACTGATCCTAGGAAACTTAATCGGGATCGGATCATGATGACACGGACTCAGTCTCGATTATCTCATCTTCCGAATCCCTCTGCTCGACCTCGCCAAACCTGTTCGGGACCCTACTCTATGGGCTCCGGATCCTTATTTTGATCGGGTAAACCAGGTATCCTCTAACAGGAGTCTGAAAAACGGGGTTTAAACAACTATGAGACGAATCTCAGTGAGTAGGTCTCCTAAACCGAAACTAGGCTAACATGCACCTCCCGACAAGTAATCAACACAACAACCGACAATGATGTCAATCAAATGACCTAGGCCCTTGAGCCCGGATCGCTTACCTTGCTGACCCTGCAGGTTAAATAGTTCGATATAATAATCACGGCACATACGTGGCACACATTTTCACACGTACGCCATACGCATGCTCATACTCAAAGTGTTCATCTCGCATGCCATTCACCGAGTCTTGCATACTCGCACACTGGCCCATGCATTCTTATGCATGCAAATGTCATCATCATGCCATGTTTCATTCTGGCTCACACTGCACACTGGCTCATGCTCCATTATTATTATTCATTACGACTCGAGTCATCACAATTCCCGGCCCGGTGCGTCTAGCCTGCTACAAAGTGCATGAGGCACAACACCGATCTGGCCCAGTGTCTCTAGCCTGCTACAAAGTGCATGAGGCGCAACACTGATCTCCCCACGAACCAGAGCCCGCGTAAAACGCATCAGGATGGTCATCTTCCGGACGTACCGGGCATCGTCCTGCTTCAAAGTGCATGAGGACGGCACACCCCGCGTAACACGCATCAGGGCGAAATGTGATCATACATACACACAGCCAGTTATTATCTGAACCCCGCGTAACACGTATCAGGGCAATTAGGTGATCACATGCTCATGTCAGGCACGCATTCTCGCACAATCTCATCTCGTGCCCCATTCTCGATATACATAATGCGTGGCCATGCAATGTCGTACAATGCAACATGAGCATTCAATTTCAGCACGACATTTCAACAAACATGCCAAATCAATGTGCTCAAATAGCCAATCAATTGCCCATACTTATTCGCATAACATGCGCACTTGGCCAACTAGTACCATGTGGCCCAAAATATAATTCACGCACTTGGGCAATAAACATTCGCACCAATGATTGGCCAATCACACACCGCATTGCTCGAACACGAAATCAGGCGGCATGGCATTAAACAATTGAGCACGACAAAGTACCATTCAACCACCGAGTCGCTCAAACGAGGCACCACAAAATTTAACACAATTAAGCACAATTTGTACCCAAATCAGCCACTACATGGCCCAACCATTCACATATGGCAATTCACGAACAAACCATACATTAGCCGTACAAGGCCCAATTAAACCTCAATGGACAGCCACTAATCAGTCCGAGAGAGAGAAAAACCGGGAATATACAAAATCGGGTCCAAACTGGGCTGTTACACAGTGACCGAAATCCATTTGAAATAAATGATAAATCAATTCCAAAAATTATGAAATTTGGATATGTTGTACAAAACATCTCAATGAATATTTTCCGTGCAGAACTCAAAACCCA